GCGGGCAGGACTGGCCTAGGGGTATTTTAAATTGGTTTTAACAAAATTTTTAGTAGAAGCGGCCTAGTTAAATATTTATTTTTAATCACTTTTAAATTTTGTATTGTATTGTATTATTGTTTTTAAACTGGCTGTAAGCCGCCCTGAGTCCTCCGGGAGAAGGGCGGGGTATAAATTTAATAAAACTAAACTAAACTAGGCTGAGAGACACAAACAGGATTTCAGGCACAACCTGGGTTTGTATCTATTCTATATTTTCAGTAGGGTCAATATGATATAATGATTTTCAAAATCCAAGCCTAAAACTGGTGATCCAGTGTTTTAATAAGGGGCGGGAAAGAGACTTCTTTGTCTGTTTAGTTCTGTGAATAAATGATTTAGGAATTCCTGGTGCCCTTTAATTAGTAATTTTTTCTCTTAAGCGAGCTAAGACACACCAACTATTTAGATGAATGTCATTCTGGAAGCGCGCAAAATTTAAAACTGATTGTTTGTTGTTGTTTTTTGAATAGCATTGACTGTGCTGGAATACTGAAACTTAGAAATTCAGACATTGAACTGAGAAAAGGAGAAACTGACATTGGGAGGAAAAATACACGAGTTCGGCTGGTCTTCCGTGTTCATATCCCTCAACCTAATGGGAGAACCCTTTCTTTGCAAGTGTCTTCCAACCCTATTGAATGTTGTAAGTATCCTTTCTTTCTCAGTGTGTTCATGTTTGGAGTTCAAATGGAAGTTCTCCTGTTGCTCTGAATTCCAGAAAAAGAAGCATCTTGTACTCAGAATATTGAATTTCTCTTGGGAAGAGTTAATGGCAAAAATAAACAAACTTTACTGTTCTTCCAAAGAGATCTTGTAATTGGACTAAGGCACAAATAACTCAGCAATTGTCTCCTCAAACCAAATGCTACTAAAATTTACAAATGTTGTTTGCCCAAAGTAGAATACTTAAAAACCTTAAACCCAGGTATGTGTTAGTATAGATTCACATTTTATTTGTTGTTGTTGTTTTTAATTTTCATCAGCCCAAAGATCTGCTCAGGAACTGCCTCTGGTTGAAANCTCTAGGTACTTATAAAGTGATACCACATGGAAGCTATAATCAGAAACACATTTATCCGGCAATCAGACCCAATAAAATGGAAAAACTTGGTTTTGAAAATTGACATACAATTTTAAAATGAACAAAGCAAGCAAATAAATCTGAATTAACCTCCCTAAGATTGCATTTTATGAGTGGCAAGAATATGGCTAAATTTGAGCAAACTATTGACACTCTTACAAAGCAAAATGTGTAAGATAGCATTTAGATATGAACTGTCTAAACAAGATAATGCATATTAAGAAAAATGGTTTTCCCTTGTAGCTTCACTGCAGGATCAGCTTCTTAAACATAATTATTATGTATTATTATCAAAATCTCATTGCCTGAAACTCTTAGGACTCACTGTGCATTAACCAGTTTAGCCTAGTATCCATGTAATGATATATAAATAGTACTGCTGTTTGGTGGAATGTCAAAATTAATGAAGTGTGTGATCCAAACAACTTGGATGAACAAAGCTGTGTTACAGACATATTTATACTGGTTCTGTAAGATTGTACAGTATCTGTCTCAGGAATTGCAGTTATAACCAATCAAAGCCTTGAAAGAAAGATTAGTCACGAACTACAGTAGCTTCTTATTAGCTCATTTCTCATCATCTTATCTGAAAGTGGTAATATCCAAAATCTGGGACAGGAAACACCTCAGTGCCTAAAACATGAATGTGTCTGGTCTTAACACTGTGGTAACAGCTCCATAGGGCAAATTAGTATTTGCTGTTACATTTGTAATTTAGAATAAACATCGCTAAAAAGGAATTGGTAGAGAAGATGGCTATGCTTAGAATGGACAGCTGTAAAAGGAAATGAAGCCACCAGAAACCGTGGTGGCTAGACACCACCAAAGCCAACATCGGCAAGAGCATAAAACAACAGAAAGAAGTTTTACAAGATCAGAAAATGTGAAGAACGGGCCCATAGAATCACCAAGAATCAGACACAATTGAATGGATATCATTATAAAGCGTTGCACTATAACTCCATGATGCATCTGGCACCAAAGTTCTTGCTAGCTCACTTATAGGTCTCAGACTGTGCAACATCCTGACTTCATTAGCAGTCTTGATCCACCATTAGGAGTGATGATGCTTGGCTGTGTTTCAAATCCGACTGACTTGTTTGCTACCGCAGCAACTCATCAAATAGAGCATTTTTTTCCTTTTCTTTTTTCCTGAAAACCAAGACAGAGACAGCTCTGACCATTCTTGATATTTTATAGCAGAAGACTTGTGCCAAATTCTAGTTAAAACTGCTTGTGGGACTGGCTTTATTCCACCAAACTGAATGGCAAGGAGTCAATTTGTATAAATGTAGCATATGGCCAGTCGTCCTCTGCATTATTGAAATGTAGTTGCTCTTTTTTTGTCTGGCAGGCATATAACAGTCCTGCAATATTTTTATTAGGGAAGATTCACCTATAGAATTTCTATGTAATAAAATTGATAAAAGTTACAGGCCCTTGAGAGAAAAATATACATAACAGACATGATGTGAAGTCTTCAAGGATTTTCTGGGCAAATACATAATCTACCCAAGATATGCAATAATTACCTTCCTTCATTCCTAATTTGAGGCAAACCATAATTTTCCCTTTCATTAGTATCATCAAAGAATCATTTGAATTAATACTGTAAGGGAGGGAGGGAAGGAAGGAAGGAACCTTGGCTTATCAATATATCTGAATCAGTCCTGAATCCCAGACACAGAAAGGAAAATAAGGCTACTGTAATTGTACAAACCTGGTTTGCTTCTTCTGAATTCTGAGTTGGAACCTGTTAGCCATTTGTGTTTGCTTATTGTTTCTACTTTATAAAATACGTCTTAGGCTGAGAGACACAAACATGATTTCAGGTTTGTATCTATTCTATATTTTCAGTCTGGTCAATATGATATAATGATTTTCAAAATCCAAGCCTAAAACTGGTGATCCAGTGTTTTAATAAGGGGCGGGAAAGAGACTTCTTTGTCTGTTTAGTTCTGTGAATAAATGATTTAGGAATTCCTGGTGCCCTTTAATTAGTAATTTTTTCTCTTAAGCTAGCTAAGACACACCAACTATTTAGATGAATGTCATTCTGGAAGCGTGCAAAATTTAAAATGGATTGTTTGTTGTTGTTTTTTGAATAGCATTGACTGTGCTGGAATACTGAAACTTAGAAATTCAGACATTGAACTGAGAAAAGGAGAAACTGACATTGGGAGGAAAAATACACGAGTTCGGCTGGTCTTCCGTGTTCATATCCCTCAACCTAATGGGAGAACCCTTTCTTTGCAAGTGTCTTCCAACCCTATTGAATGTTGTAAGTATCCTTTCTTTCTCAGTGTGTTCATGTTTGGAGTTCAAATGGAAGTTCTTCTCTTGCTCTGAATTCCAGAAAAAGAAGCATCTTGTACTCAGAATATTGAATTTCTCTTGGGAAGAGTTAATGGCAAAAATAAACAAACTTTACTGTTCTTCCAAAGAGATCTTGTAATTTGACTAAGGCACAAATAACTCAGCAATTGTCTCCTCAAACCAAATGCTACTAAAATTTACAAATGTTGTTTGCCCAAAGTAGAATACTTAAAAACCTTAAACCCAGGTATGTGTTAGTATAGATTCACATTTTATTTGTTGTTGTTGTTTTTAATTTTCATCAGCCCAAAGATCTGCTCAGGAACTGCCTCTGGTTGAAAAGCAGAGCGTTGATAGCTATCATGTGATGGGTGGGAAGAAAATGATTCTGAGTGGACACAACTTTCTTCAAGACTCTAAAGTGATATTTGTGGAGAAGGCTCCAGGTATTTAAAATACTATCAATGTTTATGCTTAAATTGCCAGTGTAAATATACAACTGCAATGTTGCACTAGAATAAAGATTTTTTTTTAATCACACTCTTCTATATTGTTATCTAGTTCAACTATTTTGTGACACTAGCAGAAAGATCTTGAACGTGTGCACTTGGAACTAAATCTCATTATGTTTCTGTTTTTCTGAAATGCATAAAACAAAAATAATTTGTTAATATAACTATTCTGGAGGAACAAGCATATGTTTGTAGCTTGAGTACAAGGGTAAGGAAGATTTCAATAAGGTATAGATTTCAATAGGTATACACACAGAGAGAGAAAAGCTGGTAGAAAAAAGTAGATGAATAGTATTCGTCTTTTCCATTTTGCCCAGCTTTCCAAAAAGCTTAGTGAATGTTATTAAGATACAGGTTCTGTTTGCAGAGTATAGGGAGAAGGAAATTGCTAAAAGTAGCTTGGGGCGAATAATTATTTTAAGTTTAGCAAGATAATGTTTAGGAATTAGTAGCTCTTCATTTCTGAGTACTCAGATTTTTGGTGCCAGATTTGTATCCATTTAATTCTTGCAAGAGATATTAGTCTTTGGTCCTACTTAAACAGCAAACTATATTATTGGCAGGTAATGGCAAAACTGCTAAGTGTCTGATGTTTTTAGGGGCTGTAATATTATCTGAATACAGGTGGAATTCAGTTATCACAGTGATTTTCCTGCAGTGACCTCCAATATGAGGTCTAGCAACATCAGTATAATTTCACAGATCTCTCTTGATACCCACCAGGTTCCTGATTCACCTGACTTTATTTATTTAATTAAAAGATTATTTTAATTTAATAGAATGGAAAACTGGCATATGGAAAAAACAATCTAGCTTCCAACAACCTTCATTTTCCAGGAATTTCTTGGAGTCCCAAAGATTCTCCTGGAAAATGAGCATGGTCAGCTGTAGTCAAACACCTTATTTGGAAGGGTGTTTATCTGTCCCACTCAGGGGTAAGTTAATGGGTGCTTTTCAGCTAGTTCTGACCCTAGCAAATATTTGTAAATGGGCACTGCATCAGCCATCTTGTGAGAGAAACCGTAGCATGGTCTCCAAAATTTAAATTTACCATCCCACCTCAGATTGGGGGTCCTTGATCTGGGGTTATGAGATCTAGCCATTAATATGATATCTTTAAGTAAATAGTTGAATTGAAAATCTAATTTGTATATCTTTTATAAAATCAACCTGAAGGCCAAATATCAGATCATTAATGGGAATATTTAGCATTTTTATTGCTTCGTCAAAACACTATCATAAGGGAGTTGTGCACTGACCTAAAGCAATGGTATAAGAGGTGGGAATATTTAGCCCATGCTTTTGCTGCTTTGTTCTAAATCTGTAAAATCCAGATTTGGATGCTGAGGAATTTTTACAGAATTAAATTATTTTTAAATTTTAAGAACCTAATATTGTACAGATATTATGCAATGACAGATAGGACTGGTTTATACAGCAAAATTATATACTGTATTAAATCCAATAATACAATTCCAGTCTCTGCAGAGAAACTATATATTAGAGCCACAAAAATAGAATCATTATTTGTGCATATGTAGCTATTGCAAATAAAATATACTTTATGAATAAATTGAAGTCTCAATTGCCAGGTTAAAGTAATTGAAAAACCAAGTACCTCACTTAGCCAGGAATATAAGGAGAGACAGCAGGAGATACAGAACATTATCCTTAGAATTAAAGTGTGTGTATGTGTGTGTTTGTGATAGGGGGAGGGAAGAATTTTGTCAACCATTATAGAAAGCAAAACAGATTTAATAAACGCACCAGAATACAAAATCACTTATAATCTATCCCTGTAAAGATTGTGTTCATTATATTATAAAGCTTATGTGCTCTCTATGTAATTATACATTCTTTTATATAATTTAATAAACATATATTTGGAGAATTCATAACAAACCACCTTATTGTGTAGATTATCTACAAACAAACTGCTGATTAGAAAGAATTTCCATCCTAGACTCTGTAAATATTTTCATTCAAATTCTCTTTTTTTTAAGTAGAGAATATGGATTTGTTTCTTGTGTTACATATCGTTTTGTTTTTTATTATATTCCTATTTATTTTAATCTATTTAAATAGTTAGCAAAGTCCACTGATGACAGCAAGTAAATCTCAAAAACTATTTTCCCTCAACAATAAAAAAGAAAATAAATATTATTATAATTGTAAACAGAATAGAGCTGCAAGAAGACCTTGGAGGTCTTCTGGTCCAACCCCCTGCTCAAGCAGGAGACCCTATGCCAGGGGTCTTCAAACTTGGCCCTTTTATGACCTGTGGACTTCAACTCCCAGAATTCCTTAGCCAGTGTGCATGACTGAGGAATTCTGGGAGTTAAAGTCCACAAGTCATAAAAGGGCCAAGTTTGAAGACCCCTGCCCTATACCATTTCAGACAGGTCGATGTCCAGTCTTTTCTTAAAAACCTCCAGTGATGAAGCACCTACAACTTCTGAAGGCAAGCTGTTTCATTGGTTCAATGTCCTCACTGTTAGGAAGTTAGACAAAATTTTATTAAATATTCATTTGAGATATCTAAGTTACACCAAAAGGCTGGCTAGAAGTGGAGTGCAAAGACATATATTTCCAGGGACAAATTACACCATTTTTTGCCTGGCTTTTTCTAATCTGAATTTCCCCTTCTGAAAGGCTCTGTTTTTCTCTTGCAAGGATCTGAAAACACCTTGACCCTTTTCAGGATCATCTCAGTCTGCTATTTTAGAATCAAACTGTTAGAAGAATTGGGAGTTGACTAAAGATAATGTAGGCAAAGAGGAGCTAAAAAAAGGCTGATAGATAAATGGGGGTAGTAGGGTGTATAAAAAGCCAGGGTCAATGAAGGCAACAATGAAAGAGGAGGAGCATTTTTTTTTTAAGCTTTCTTGTTTTGGAAATAGTTTCAGTGGTGCTGGCACAAATGAGGCATTTTACAGCTGTTTGCTGAACCCCCTGAACTTCAAGCTGTCTGCTGAAATGCTCAAACTCTTCACTTCTCCCAGTCTTTCTCAGAAGCCTTTGATAATTAGGACCATTAGGACCATTTCACCCTCAGCATTCCCTGTGTTCCAAAGTGATTGCAGTACCACACTGAAGCTTGATTGTCCTTAACTGTGCAGTCTGTTAGAAGGACACGGCTTTTGCTGAGTAAGGCAGTCTTTTCTACTGTCAGATGGAGCTACAGTATTTGGAGATGCAAGCTGACTGAGGCAGGCCAATGCCCCCTCATGCTTTCTTATATTATTTTTCCACCCAAGTACAGATAATGAATAAAGATAACCCGAGAGGGCATCTTCAGTTGTGAAGTCAACAGAGGGAGTTATGTGGAAAAGAAGAGCAGAAAGGGGCAGACTGAAATGTGTCTGGACATTTCCAGATTCTTCTCTATCTATTTAATCGGGGAGTGTAACAGGTTGATTGGAAGAAAAGCATTGGAGCAGCGTTTTGATAGAACAAATTATATTTATTTCTTTGATTGATGGTTAAAGCTACCCACCAATTTGTCAAAACTACTAAGAACACTGTGGTCTGAAATAGCTATGTTTGGCAGTAATCTTTATCTTGTTTGGACTACAAATCTCCACCCAGCATAGTTATAGGGGATGGAGTTCTGGAAGTATAGCTTCATCAAAACTTTAAAGATTTCTTTATTAAGAATATTTGATCCAGATCATGAGATGTTCCTACAGAATATTTCCATCAGATAGTAAAAATAATGGCCTAGTGTATAATCTGATAGCTAACCATATCGTATTGTAATTTAAACTACAGTAATTGGTAGCAAACCAATTCAACTAAACAAAATTGTGGTTTCTTTTGTATAATCTAAATAATGAACCAGTTATAATATGTATAACAATGTAATTCTATATTTCAATATTTCTACCTATTAAAAATAAGCCAAAGTTCTTTAATGGGACAGGTTGCTATGCATAGGAAATAATACAGTTTAATACATCATTTTTAAATCTTGAGATGTCTGACAAATAGGCCGGGCTTTTCTTTCTTTTGTGAGTTTGGTGATGGCATTGCTAATGACTTCTTTTTAAAGTAATTAAGTTATATTTGATTTATATTTGGTTTGCTAAATTGGTATCGGTGTCTAAGTTGTAGTTTTTGTTAATGTGATTTCTAAAAATGATACTGATTGGTTATGCAGACCACCCTAGTTATTTGTAATTGGCTGAACATTATTTTGTGCTGAAGTCTTGAACTATGCCTGCCGTTTTGGGCTATCTTTCAGCTGCTGTGATCTCCTGAGAAATGGCATTATTCTTGCAAATAAAGAGAAAAGGGAAGGGTTGGCTGCCTTAACAATGACTCATATGAAAGGGAATCCCTGAAGAATGATCAAGTCCATTCTTGAACTTGAAGTCAACAGCAGAAACGTGCTTTCAGTTTAACTCCTTGAACACAGTTTTTTGGCAGACAAGTAGGAGATCCAGGAACATTAACATTACCTATGGTGTTCTGTGTCTCTTACTTGAAATGGAATGACTAGGCAATAGTATTTGTTGCTTAATTTTTTTTAGCTAAAATGGGTATCAGAATAAAGGGACATATGACACAAAGGGGCTCATCCAAATTAATTAAACCAAATTAATTTCTAAGTGATGGTGGTGGAGGAAGATTGCTATCTGCAAGAGACGCAGCTTCTCTTCAGAAGCATGCTGTCGTCTCCAGAGACATGCTATAGTGTTGTTGAAAGAATTATGGTGTTGATATTTATTGCTTGTGTATGGAGCTATTTTTCCAGGGACGAAATTCAATATTAAATATGCATTAAGAACTTGATCGCCCAGTTGTAAAGAGAGCAAATGAGAAAGTGTCTGTTCTGTTCTAAAGGTTCAGCTTTCTTAAAATGTTATTTTATTTCCAGCAATGATTTCAGCAGCTAATTGGATTTCCATGAGTTTTTTATTTGGTGCTATTGT